CTGTTTTGTAATATTTTATTTATAGGTGATATTTTGTTTAATGTAGAACTATAAAATTTATTGAATATAACCGCAAAATTTTAATTGACTATATAATTTAATTTTAACACATTATAATGTGAATTATTATGATGTTAGTAATAAGAATAAGATTATTTTATGTTAATATAATTATCAGAAATTTTCATTTTAATAATAAAATAAAAAATATTTTGTATTTAATTATTACTTTTCACACCGGTAGGAAGAATATTGCAGTATTTTTGTTAAATTGTTAAGACCTATTGTAACCCATATATCGCCAACGAATAAATGAACTTGAATTTAAATTTGAATTTCTCTACACTCACCATACAAAACACAGCAGCGATTTTACTCTGGCATTCTGTGAGAACGTAGTGCTTCCCCGGTCGAGTCGAATTATCTTTACGTCAAATTAAAAATATATTTGATTCGTTTAGCACGAATAATATAGTTTTTATCATTCTGGTTCAGATTAGATTTAATTTTAGTCACTTAAGTTTCGTATATTGTGCAAAATAATGAAATAAATGTACAGAATGTGCAATGTGAAATTGAGAAAATATAATTTTTGTCTACGGCAAAAAAAAAAATAGACTATGTATCATGATTAATTTACCAACTAGTTATTCGTTGAGTCAATACAAAAAATATCAAAAATATATTATAGATTGAATATATTATTATTTACTTTAATTGTAAATACGTACTGATGTAAAATGAAACAAATATTGAGATCAAATAAAACGTTTATTGAACAAGCATCTTCTTTCAAACATTTGTTCAGTGAAGTAGATACTTAGAATAAAGATTTATAATAAGGAACATAATTAACACAATTTGGCACTTGAAATAACATAGGTAGTAATTTAGAGCAAAACTTTTGACGCACACAGTGCCCCAAAAACCGCTACAAACGGCAACATTAATTAAAAAAGAAATAAGAAAGGTGTTCTAAGCGTTTTATCATTTCTAGAATTGTGTAATGTGAAAAAACTGTTCTAGAAAAGTGACTATTTTACACCGCAAGGCATCCCTACACTGAAATATAAAAACAATAGCGAAAAATGTCATTAAAGCAATGGTCATTAAAGTGTGTTTTATACACAAGGAATTAAAATATAAATATATTCATGGTTATATGGACGTCAAATATCGTGCGGTATGAAACTTTACCGATAATCTGACGTCCACATATAAAAATACAACAAAATTCAAAAGTATGGACGTTAAATATCATTCTGTACGAATGTTTTAGGATATTTGAACGTCCGTATTATTATATGTAGCTAAATCTAAGGACACGTAAAGAAATTTGAAAGTAAAAATAGCACTGAGTACAGTATAAACCGACAAAAAATACCAAAATATACCTTGAGCACTAAATAAATAAGTAATCAACATAAATAAATAGTAAAACGCAATAATCAACAACATTGGACATCAGATATCAAAGAAATGGATGTCAAATAAAACTTTGTGAGAATATTTTAGGATATTCTTACGGCCGTATATGGGTAAATACTCAACTATACATTAATCAACTTAAACAAGTTTAACTAAGGAAACTTAAATGCAAGCAAACAAGCGTGGAAAGTTCATAATGTGCGTAGGTCACAGTACGGACGCCAAATAAAGCACGATATGCATGTTTTTTAGTAATATAGCGTCCAATATGAATAAAAATTATAATTGTATTTCAACTAAATGCAAAACCAAACATATCATAATTTAACAAAAATAGCCTTTCACAAAATAAAATCAAGTTAAGTAGATAGTAATTTCTTACAGATTAGGTACAATAGTCGCACTCATCCTTAAGATAGTGATCATAAACAGTAAACTCGCAGTGAGAGCACCAAAACTCAACACGATCAAATAAATAAATTATATTTTCGGAGTTATTCATGTCAGCAAAATTATGCCACGGTCTGTTGTAGGAATTAACAAATCTTTGGCAACGACATAACAAAAGTTCTTATAGGCAGTTTAGTACTGTACAGTACATAAATGTAAAATGTAAAAATATAGTGCAGCATGACGTAAACTCGATAATATAAGTTACTGAGATCCCTTCATCAGCTATGAAAAAAAGCTTATGACCTTAAGACCGCACCCAAATCGGTTCACCTCTTTAGGAGCTACGGTGTCACAGACAGGCAGCCACACAGACAAACATTCACGTAAAACTTATAACAATCCTCTTTTTACGTCTATTATTCATGGATCCAATCAATCATTAAATTCGAAAAGGTTGGACTAAGAGAGCGAGATGGAATTTTGACAACCAGCAATGTTTTAAAAACAAAATACGAAACTAAACAAAATACCACAGTAATTCGTAGGAGAATTCCCGAATATGGCTATTTGTTGTTTGTATAGGCATTTTGGACGAAGACTTTTATTTTTAACCAGTCTTTGTTGTGCAGAATTTCAGTATGTTGACTACGAAGTTCCTCGCACTCATGGCGTTTTGGCGGTTGTTTATTTTTAATATGTTTGCTAAAAAACTTTTTAACTATACTTTTCTGTTCTGTGGTCCAAGGTACAAGGTTTCGTTTTTTCTTTGTTTTAATATGTGTAGCATTGGTAGCATCGCTAAGTAGAGTTGACTGCGGAGTAAGGACAGGGTTATCGTCTGTGAACTCCGTTTCTTTTGATTTTTCAGTTGGTAATGCAGCATCGTAATCTATTAATTCATCACTGTCGTAATTATCGTGGCCCTGTGCGTTTTCTAGTAAATCTTGTTCTAAATCTAAGTTTATGTCATCCAAACATTTGCCTCTATAAGAGTCTGCTTTGCCACTCTCCATGAGCAGCAGTAGTTTTGATAGTTTGGCCGTCTGATACACGTCATCGGGTAATCTATAGTTTTGTCTGTGGACAGCCTGTGTGTGCCCCATAAAGTTAGCTAGTTGTTCAATGTCTGATTCTTTAAGGTTAAACATCTGAGTCAACATAGCCAAATGTTTGCGTAGCTTAGTCATAGTAATAGCTGCAGGATTTCGAGCTCCACTTGCAGTGGCATACTTTTTCAAGACCTTATAACCACATAATGTACTTTCAGATCCGGGTTTTGCAAACAAAAAGTCGTTTTTTTCACATATGTAATTACGTCTCACAGAGATAAGCAAATTGATGTCACTTTGGACTTCGTCAGTCAACAGAACGGGCACACCTCGACCTCTTTTACCCCGTATAACAATACGCTTAAAACTATTTACCAACACTTTTTCCGTACTTGAAATAGCTCGGTCAAATTCCTCATATGCGCTTTTGTCATTGCTGCTCTCTTGGTAGATGCTGAGTGGGAGACGTTGCAGTTCACCAGGCCGACGTCTGTTGAGAAGAAGAACGCGGCAGTAAACTGTCTCTGTTAGAGTGTTGTACGCTTCAATATTGCTAGTTTCGGATTCTATTAACTTAGATGCTGCAGACTTAGATTTTTCGCAAAGATAATTTTTAAGGAGTTTTAAGTCTTTCGCAAGAGGAACAATTGTAATTTTATTCCATTTTTTTAAGTTTAAGTCATTGCAGGCCTGGCTTGAAACATCAAACTTCCAATTAGTCTTGATGAGATGAATTAGCGTCTTTAGATCAGCCTCTACTGCAGCAGTTTCCACACTGCTGCCTGATTTTAATGTAGTCATTATGGCTATGTTGCGACACTGTTTTAGGCTAGTGCTGATGTTCATGGCATATGTTGGTGCACCATAGCGATCTGTTTTACAATTGTAACTTGATACTTTTTTTAGTTGCAGTAACAATTAGATCATAGTTTTGAGGTTTCAAACAATCCATCAAATTTTTAAGTGACGGTTTCAGCGTCTTCAATTCTAGTAACAATTTAGCCAATTCTCTCATTTTTCGCGATGTAACATTTACGAAGTGTTTTTCTCGATGAATCCTTAAATATTGGGCTCCAAACGCACAGATTAACGTATCTCTTTTAGCTTCTAGTGATATTTTGTCAGGTCTCATTTTTGGAAATACCTCATCTTTAAGTTTTTTGTCAATATTTAGGTTGCGTAACATAAAATTTTGAGACTGAACTTGAGTGTTGGCGGTATCGGATAACGGTTGACATGTCTTCTTATGTTTCCACAATTGTTTCCTAGAGTAGAAGCCTAAACATTTTTCACATGGTAAGTAATCGATGTGTGGATAAACATTACTCTTTTTCATAGGTTTAACACATTTTATAACATTCCGAATATAGTTTCCTCTTTTGCGTAAGTTGGTTATTAGGTTTTTGCGTACGCAACTTTTCGTAGGATGAGAGATAATATTTTGTACTTCGGGTTCCGTACAATGATTCCGCAATAGATGTCTCGCAAAATTTAGCACATCGACCTCACAAAAAAAAAAAACAATAATCCCTGGCTCTGGTTCTTTTCAACTCTTTCGTCTTTTGGTAACTTGTCAAATCCTAAAAGAGAACATTTCAATGAATTACAGAATAAATTTGCTTTATGAATTATCAACATTTTCACATCTGGTAACGTTCTGTAATTCTTGCCGCAAGATAACATACGGTACAGTAACGTGCATTAATTACAGGACGTTACCGGAATGTCTCAAGAAGCACTTAGGCTCTCGTGATTGTATTTTGTTACAATAAGTGTCTAGAGGGATAGGCATTCTAAAATTAAAGGTGAGGCATCCTTTTTAGTCACAAATTAAATAGTTATCTCCCTAAGAATCCTCAAAATTAATATTTATGCCCAACATTTTTTTAACAACATGAACATTGTACAGTTTTAATTGATTTGAATAAAAAAAATCAGAAAGTTATCTTCAAGATTTGATGTGAAACACAAAAAGAAATATTTCTGTCGCGTAGCGAAACTAAAGCTTCATATTCCTGATTTATGTTCATATTGTGAAATAAATATATTCATGAGCATACAATGTTGATTATTGCAGCTTCATGGTTTCAGAATTTAAGTAATAAAGAAAAGATCTCACCTGGGGTTCCTCTAAGCTACGACGTCTAAGACACAATTGCTATTTTGATGTGTCTTATTCAATACTTCTTCCGTGTCTTCAGTATAACTTGTGATACTGGAGGATTTCTCGAATGCAGAAATGTACGTTGGATCTTTGTCAGAGTCGTCAAACTCAGAGCTATTGTCATTAGAAAAATTAGGAATGCCATCATTGGAAGCGCCACCTGACGTAGTAGGTACTGAGTCTTGTATCTGAGTGGTATGGTCTTGCGATAATGATTGGCTTGTTATTGTGTGATTTTTTGTGAGATTACATTCATTAGGATTACTTACTGTTACATGCATTTGGTACGGAGATTGTTCCAATACGTTTGATAAGGACTGGTTAGTTATAGTAAGACACGATTGACCACTTTCACTATGCATTGGGTTCTGAGGTTGTTCCAACACATTTAAATAATCAGAATTTTGGATAACTGAATTATTACTGTTATCAGCCAGAATGTTTGCGTTCGATTCGATAATAACGTTGCTGTCAGCATCTAGCAGAGGAGGACTAGAAGTTGCAACTGAATCTGACTACAAAGTATTCCGCGGTGTCTCGATGACAGTCATTGGTCTTTGATCTGCCAAGCATGTTTCGTTATAGTTCGAATCCGAGTCATCAGCATCATTCGTTATATCATCCATCAGAGTATCCGTCAAGTCGTTATTTAAATTTGAACTATTTGCAGTATCGTCGTCCGTAGACGGTAGATATGTTTCATCCCTATGTTTCTCATTATCAATTATATTAAATGAATCATCAATGCTAGTATTTGGCGGTGCGTATGATGGGAGATTACGTCTGGATCTCTGTAAAATAAAATGAATTAGACAATGAGACATCACACACATCGATCTGATGCCGAGATAATGTAGTGTATGTAGGTATATACACGATAGCCTAAGATAGATTCGACAGTAATAAATCTACATTCAAGATCATTATACGCTTCATTTATTCCCCGAACCTCCCATTTATTTATTTATTTATTATATGTGCCGTGTAGTGGCGGTTAAGAATATCCACTACCCCATATCTTCCCGTGGGTGTCGTAAAAGGCGACAGAGGGAGACAGGCAGGAGATGGGCAGCAGCATCTTCCTGATAACAGCAACTGTACGATAAAAAAAAACTGCGGTTGCCAACCCGCTCGCCAAGCGTGGCAACTATGGCAATATACCCCCCATGAACAATTACACAAATAGACGGCCCCCAGTCCCCGGCGGCTCCGCTATTCCTGGCTACGGTGGCGACCATGGTAACGGCGGGGCAGGGGGTGCTAAGAATCTCCGGTGGAGGTTCGGTTGCCACCTACGACGACTCGACCTGGCAACATTTAACGCACGTACACTGAGGACTGACGAGAAGATCCTGGAGCTGGAAGAAGAGATAGACAAGTTGCGCTGGAGTATTATAGGATTATCCGAGGTCCGAAGAGAGGGGGAGGACACGGTGATTCTCGAATCCGGCAACTTGTTCTATCACCGGGAGGGCGACCATCTGTCCCAAGGAGGTGTCGGATTTATCGTCCACAAGTCTCTCGTCAACAACGTTGTAAAGATTGGGAGTGTGTCGACGAGGGTCGCGTACCTGATACTCAGAATCACCAAACGGTATTCGCTGAAGGTCATACAGGTTTACGCACCAACCTCGGCACATTCCGATGAGGAGGTGGAGGAAATGTATGAGGATATTTCCAAAGCCATGCATTCCTCCAAAACCCACTACACGGTGTTGATGGGAGACTTCAACGCAAAACTAGGCACAAGAGAAAACGGTGAGCTGAAGTTAGGGAAATTTGGAATAGGGCAACGGAACCGAAGGGGCCAGCAGCTGGCCGACTTTATGGAGAAAGAGGGACTCTTTATGATGAACTCTTTCTTCCAGAAGCGGCCCCACAGGAAGTGGACCTGGTCGAGGCCCGACGGTTCGACAAAAAATGAGATTGACTTCATTATGACGACCAGACGCCAACTGTTCAGTGATGTCTCAGTGATCGCAAGGGTGAAAACTGGCAGCGATCACCGAATGGTTAGAGGCACACTGAACCTAAACGTTAAGTTGGAGAGGTCTCGTCTAATGAAGTCAACGCTCCGTCCCCCTCGTGCTCTAATCCAGAATCCTGAAAACTTTCAGCTCGAGTTACACAACCGCTTTCAGTGCCTACAAGATTGCAATGCAGTGGACGATATGAATGACAAGCTCGTGGAAACTGTCCATGCGGTCGGAGCTAAGTTCTGCAAGACCCGCCGCAGAAGAACACAAAAACTCTCCGATCACACTCTTAATCTCATGGCTGTTAGACGGGAGATGAGGCTGCAATCGTCAACAGATTTGACAGCATACAGGCAACTGAACAGACAGATCTCCAAATGCATGCGGCGAGACTTACGCAACTTTAATACTTCTCGTATTAAAGAAGCGATCGAGCGGAACCAGGGCTCCAAAGTCTTTGCCAGAGATCTGTCTGCCAGAAAGAGCCAACTGTCAAAGCTGAAGACTGAGTGTGGCAACATCGTTTCCGGGACACCTGAGATTCTGAGTGAGATTGAGAGGTTATATGGGCAGCTGAACACATCATCGTTGGAGCCACACTCAAGTGTGAGTAACGATCCAAGAGCAAGTCTTATCCGACACTATTCCGATGATATCCCGGACGTCAGTCTGAGCGAGATTAGAATGGCTCTCCAACACCTTAAAAACGGCAAGGCCCCGGGCGAGGATGGAATTACAGCGGAGCTTCTGAAAGCGGGTGGAACACCGGTACTTGAAGTCCTTCAGAAGCTCTTCAATTCCGTCCTCCATGGTGGCACTACTCCAGAGGCGTGGAGCAGAAGTGCGGTGGTCTTGTTCTTTAACAAAGGCGACAACGCTCTCTTGAAGAACTACAGACCGATTTCCCTTCTGAGCCGCGTCTACGTGCTGTTTTCGAGAGTCATTACGAATCGTCTCGCAAGCACACTCGACGACTTCCAGCCTCCCGAACAAGCCGGTTTCCGAAAAGGCTTCAGTACCATAGACCACATACATACCCTGCGGCAGATTGTACAGAAGACTGAAGAGTACAATTTGCCACTTTGCCTGGCGTATGTGGACTGTGAGAAAGCCTTTGATTCCGTCGAAATTTGGGCGGTGCTGCAGTCCCTTCAGCGGTGCCAAGTTGACTGTCGGTATATCGAAGTGCTGAAGTGTTTGTACAGTAGGGCTACGATGGCTATCCGAGTACAGAACCAGAGCTCGAAACCTATCCAACTGCAGAGAGGTGTAAGACAGGGTGACGTTATATCCCCGAAACTCTTCACCGCTGCTTTGGAAGACGTTTTCAAGCTTCTGGACTGGAAAGGATACGGTATTAACATCAATGGCGAGTACATCACTCACCTTCGATTTGCCGACGATATAGTCCTTATGGCAGAATCGCTGGAGGACCTTAGCACTATGCTCAATGACCTCAATGGTGTCTCCCAACGGATAGGTCTTAAGATGAACATGGACAAAACAAAGATTATGTTCAATGTCCATGTCACACCTATGCCGGTAGTTGTGGGGAGCACTATGCTCGAAGTTGTTGACGAGTACGTTTACCTGGGACAAATAGTCCGACTAGGTAAGTCCAACTTCGACCGAGAGGTCAATCGACGGATTCAACTCGGCTGGGCAGCGTTCGGGAAATTACGACACATCTTCTCGTCAGGTATACCTCAATCTCTGAAAACTAAAGTGTACAACCAGTGCGTGTTGCCAGTGATGACTTACGGATCAGAGACGTGGTCCTTCACTGCTGGCCGTACGAGGACGCTCAAGGTCGCTCAGCGAGCTATGGAGAGGGCTATGCTCGGAGTTTCTCTGCGTGATAGACTCAGAAATGAGGATATCCGCAGTAGAACCAGAGTGACCGACATAGCCCAACGGATTAGTAAGCTGAAGTGGCAATGGGCCGGCCATATAGCTCGAAGAACCGATAACCGATGGGGAAGAAAGGTTCTCGAGTGGCAGCCTCGTACCGGTAGGCGTAGTGTAGGGCGACCCCCCACTAGATGGAGTGACGACCTGGTAAGATATGCAGGAAGTCGATGGATGCAGGTGGCTCAGGACCGTGCTTTGTGGCATTACTTGGGGGAGGCCTATGTTCAGCAGTGGACTTGTGAAGGGCTGTAATGATGATGATGATGATTATTATATGGACAACAAAACAGATAACAATCAAAATACATTAAAAATTATACATATACATATAACAGTTTTGTGCCAGATTGTTTTTCTAAGTATGTTGACACATCATTTTCATATTGTTACGAGCTTGAGGTTCGTGACAATAAAAATTGCCGATAAAATTACCTAAATTAACACTTTAATTTACTTTACACAATTAAAGTTAAAACACTAATAATTTAAACACACTAATTCACTTAATTCCACTCCGAAGCTTCGCTTGTTTCGCCAAATCAACACTACTACTCGATCGCATCTTGCAGCGCCTATATATTTGAATCAGCAAAGAAATATCCAGAATGTTCAAGTAAACACGGGCAAGGTACCGAGCGTTCGAGTTTCGACTAGGCGCTGTCGGTTGAGTAATTTGTGATGTCATTTTCTCAATGCTCCCCTCGCTCTCGTTCCTGACACTAGATGGCGCTAGTTGACTTATTCATGCAACACTGCCCCCTCCTAAGACATGCTCGTCCCGAGCATTATCGGTCCCATAATAACGCGCCAAGCGATTCACATGGACGATCTTAGGAGTCCCTCTTGCGCCTTTCTGTAACGGCTCCGCAATGTCAAGGGCTGTCCTATCCCGTGGTGCACCAACATTGTACAATTTCGGTGCTCCTCTACTACGTGTCCGAGGTCCCCGCTCGGCCGCACAACTTGTACATGTACGACACCAATCCTCGACATCGTCACGATAATGGACCCAGTAAAACTGTTCTCGGACCTTCAGTAGAGTTCGTTTAACTCCCAGATGGACTATTGAACGACCATTATGGCACAACTGTAGAACATTCGGCACTTTAGCTTTAGGGACAACCATTTGCAAACGACAGCTGTCTCTTCGACCATTGTCCCATTTACGGCACAGGACTCCATCCTGAATCAGCAAGCTGTCCCATTGGGCCCAATAGCTTTTCGTGGTTGAACTCATCGCTGAGACGTCCCTCCACTTAGGCTTGGTAGCACGGGCCTTCATCCATCCCAGAATCGGCTTGATGTCCGGATCTTCCTGCTGTGCATGTCGTAGGTTGTCCTTCCACCCGTTGCTGAGGTGGTCTGTCCTGAGCATCCTCACGGATACCACCTCCTTACTCTCTTGCCTACTACAATGGTTGCAATCTTCAGGACAAGGTCTTCTTGACAATGCATCTGCGTTGCCGTGAGATTTC